GTGGTTTTTAAATGCAGATGGATAGAGCATCAATACTTGGAGACGCAATTGATTATCTCAAAGAGCTTTTACAAAGAATCAATGATCTTCATACCGAACTCGAATCTACTCCACCGAGTTCTTCAGGCTTGCACCCCCGTTAACACCGACTCCACAAGCGCTATCTTATCGTGTTAAGGAAGAGTTGTGCCCATCTTCCTCATTGCCAAGCCCTAAAGGCCAGCAACCAAAAGTAAGAATGAACTCGTTTGTTTTCTTGTGAACAAAACCGGATTCTATAATTTGCGTAGTAAGGCATCTTTGTTTGATATACTTCGGGGAATTTCTTTTTCGCAGGTCGAGGTTAGATTAAGGGAAGGAAATGCAGTGAACATTCACATGTTTTGTGGACGTAGACCCGGTCTTTTACTTTCTACCATGAGAGCTTTGGATAACTTAGGATTGGATGTTCAACAAGCCGTGATTAGCTGTTTCAACGGTTTTGCTTTGGATGTTTTCCGCGCTGAGGTAGTATAGTAATGAAATGTTATGCTGTGAATTAGTTATTTTGAGAGAATGATTAGTAGTAATAACATGTTTTGTTTTTCTAATCAGCAATGCCAAGAAGGCCACGACGTATTGCCTGAACAAATCAAAGCAGTGCTTTTAGATACAGCAGGTTACGCCGGTTTGTTTTGATTCGAGTTCTTTTGCGAACCAGAAAGAAGCATCTGCGTGAAACAGAGCTAGATCTAAGCTTTTGTTTTTTAGTCAGCAGTTTTCTTACTTAGTTTCATCAAAGTTTTAATCATGTATTTCAGATGATAATTGTTTTATTTTAGCTTTGAGTAACATGTGTTTGGGTGCATAACTTCAACCCTCTATCAAAATACCAAATGTCATTGTTTCTCAAAGTTATACTCAAAAAGAATTTTTTTCACAAACAGCAATCAAGAAGTGCAGTTGCTAGGCCAAAAGCTCTGTTTTTCTTTCTCCAGAACAGAAAAAAATCTGTGTATAATTCATATTCTCTGTATAAAATATCTACAAGGAATGTAGCCTCATGACGGAAATGGAATTTAAAAACTTCAAAAAAAAAAAAAAAAGGAATTCTTCTCATTGATAAAACATGCAAGAAATGTTCTGTTTCTTCCAAATACATGGATCAAACGAGATAAGCAACGCATTCTATATATGAGAGATCAAACTTTGAAAATAAGGAACATATCTTTGGGGAAAAAGTTGATAAAAAAAAAGGAGAATCCTTAACAAATAAACGGAGAGTTTTTCTTTGGGGATCGTATATTACCAGATTGTTGGAATCGCGATGTAAGAGCAATATCTTCTTCTTGCATATAGCAACCGGTCTCAAATCAAACATATCGTAATTCAGATGGAGGGAAGTAGAACAAGAAAGCAAATCTATGGTATAAATCTTCTCCCACATGAGTTCATTCTCCAAATCTCTTTTTCTTTCTCATTGCGCGTTGTCGACATACACAAAAACGACTATCCAGAGTGCACATGTGAATATGGTTGGGATCTGAACTAGCAATAACCGGATGAATCTTAGGCAGCAACCGGAATATTTCGGTATGAATATCGAAAGCTACTACTTTGACTTGGGCTTTATATCGTCTCGTGAACCAGTAAAGCGACCCGTTTGCAAATGCAGGAATCTGGTCATGACATATCTTATAACTTAGAGTGCAAGTCAAGTATCTCCAAGCGTTTGCCCTAAAATCAAAAACCTCGCAGTTGTTAACTCCCTCGTCTGGACTCGAGGCATCGGAATTATGTCTATCAGACTTATACAATAACACTAATTTGTAATCAGCGGCCTTCACGAATGCTCAAAAACTCCTTTCTATTACGCAACGCTTATCCGTCAAAATCTGAAACCTACTCGGTGGAAGTTGTCTGAACCACTGAGTGGCCGGATTAACTACATATATAGAATTTGAGTTTAGGGAGTAGATGCAGAAAAGTCCGTTGCAGCTATCAGAATGGTAGATATGGCACTGTCCAGGGAAATCAAGAGGAGGAAACGAATATAGACGAGAGCCAGATTCTTGGCAGGATGGTTTGGAAACCAATCTCTGTATTGTGTTTCCCTTTTAATTTTCTGGGAGATGAACATGAGTTTGGGATGATCCACGTGGGATCGCTCGGCGATCTTCACTTGTCTCTCTTGGAAAAAGGAAGACTCGATCGTCAATCTCCATTGTTTTGCGAGAGACTTGAAACCGGATTAGGGTTTTCACCGGAAGTCGCAAGAAGAATTCCTCTACGATCTCGTTCGGGAGTGATGATGGAGCAATCACTAGTTTCTTGTTTCTTTG